CCCCGTTTACCCCTCTCACACGGTTCCGTCCCGTTACATTATGCCTACACTACCGTCTCAGTCAGTCCTGACTGTCTGCTACACTAAGAGGCAGATGCCTTTCTTTGTCTTTGCACACTTTTGTTTTATATATATATATGTATATATATATATATAGTGACCAACCACTACATTCTGTCTGTAAATGTAGAAAGTTTATTGATATTTGAATCTCATGAAACCTGTCAAGAATATGACATCTGGGTCATATTTTGCTGCAAAATAAGAAATTCTAAAAAAAATTCTGTTCATAAAGAAAATTAAGCCAATTTTTAGGATCATTATAGAATATTAATTTTGCATTAATATTAGTATAATTGAGCACCCTCTCAAAAATAAATATTAATTATTATTTTAAATTGTGAAGTATTTGTACTTTACAGTATACTTGTGCTGAATTTAATTTATGCTACTTTAATTTAATTTGTTTTAATCAGCCTGAAATAAGCTTCATTTTCTTCATGCAAATATTTATTTTTATTTCCTATTGAATTTGTGGTAAAATATGACTAGCTTTTGACATTTACCAATTTCAGAATGAAAGATGATGTTCTGTTGGTTTCAGATGTCAATATAATCAGAAAAAAGCTTTAGTTGCCTGCAAAACATCTGCTTCTGTAACATCGTCACCTTCCAGAAATCAAACAGGCAAGATTTGTAATTGCTATCGATGTAAATGCACTAGGTTTTGCAGTCAAGATGGTCTGAAATTGAGCACGTGATATTGTGCTGCAAAACAGTTTTGACCAAAACACTTCATCTGAAATGGATTGATATTACAAACACTACTGGCTGGCATAAAATGCACTTTGTATAGCAAATAGAGGAGCATTTGAAATGAGCTACAGCTGGCAAGCAATGGCACATTTGATGATTTATCATGTGTAATGAACCTTGCACCTGATTTCAGATGTTAACTACAGACAAAATTGTTTCTGAGATCTTACATAAGTGTTATTAAACATTCTCTGTAGATACTGTTTTCCAACTCTAAAAATCTGATTGACACTGAAATAGTCATTTATGTTCATGTCAAATTTATTTTGCGTTATGAATCCGTTCAGAACGCATTCCTTTTTGCCAAAGTTGTTGTTGTAAATCCTTGGCGCCACATATAACAGGTTTCTAGTAAGATAAAGGTCTAATACATTTGCATGCATCTTGTGAAGTAACATTGATTGATTTGAGTGTGACCGGTTCTAGCAATATTGTAAGATACACACACACACGCTTGAGGCAGTTTGATTCTGCTGGTTGATGGTTAATACTTTACATCTTTCTGTCTCATTACCTTTGACCAAGTGTTAAATCTATCTCATCATTCCTGTTCTCAAATCTTCGCTCTCATCATACTGCTGCATTTACAGGACATTCACAACAATCTCTTCAGATATACAGCTTTAAAACACACTGCAATTCTGCAAAGCAAACTGAGATTTTTGTGTTCCAGGATATTTGCATTATACATATTCAAGGGTTTATGTTGATGAATGGCAGGGTACAGCTGCATTTTGTTAAAAAGGTCATTTGAAGTAGTCAAATGAAAAGTACCTCTTAATAGGGCTGGGTATCGAGTTCGATACTTTTTAGGCACCGATTTTTTTTTTATATATATATGTAATCTTGTTCAAATTGATTTAATAAAATTGGTATCGAAAAAAGTATCGTTCAGGAACCGGTATCGAAGTCAAGGTATCGGTATCGATATCGAAATGTTTTTGAACGATACCCAACCCTACCTCTTGATTGCTTTGCCTTTGCTCATCTGTAGTCAGCTGACCTGATAGAGGTCTACACCTGACACTGCCACACTATGCCACTAGAAATACTGCAGATATAGCTTTAGGATTACTGCTGGGTAGATATGATATAGTGTTGTATACAGATTTTCATTGTTATTTTAGCGGTACGATCAAGTAGACATTTGCCGAACGGATCAATTCTGTCATTTTTGTGGTTGCTTCCTGTTTTGATATCATGACTGTTCCTCAGGAATGATTGATTGATTGTACATCGGCATGATACTGAGGGACTGATTGTATTTTGGTTTGAAGTGAGACTGTGTAGGACTGGGAATCAGCCAAATGTCCAACGGTTCCTCGGACGGCAGACTCAACTTCCAGCCTGTTGTGTTGATAAGCGGTTTCTGATTTGTGCACTCTTATGATTCTCATTCTTTTTTTTTTTTGCCTTGTTTTTTTTGTATTAATTGAAAATGAGTCCTTGAAGTTATGCAGATGTTTTATTTTACGGAGTACAAAAATAATGAAATTATATATGTACAAAATTTCTTTTTCTGTATAAAGAGAATTTACTCTATTTATTCAAAGCTTGTTCTTATTTTGTAATGGCCGGTTCAGTCTAATAAGATGTAAAGAATAACTTTTCGATTTATGTCATGCAATGAAAGTAATAAATGACGTTTTCTTTACATAACTGGAGCTCTCTGCAATTTGTTTTCTTGTATCTTAGTTTTCTGAGTACAAATGGTGTCACAAGATGCATTGTCTTATTCTGCAATACAGAGTACAGATTGAGATCACATGCCCAATTTTTGTTGGACTAAATGCTGAAATCATTATTGAGCTTTCATTAATACACAGTGTTAGGAAGGTTACTTTGGAAATTTAATAGGTTATAGATTATAGACAAGTTACCCTATTTAAGGAGAGTGAAATAGAATGATTTTAATTAATTATTGCTAGTTATTAAATAATTAACAAAATAATTAACAAACGTTAATAGCTATGATAATGTTATTGAAATCAAATCTTTGCATAGCTATGACAGGAAACACTGGCATCTAACAATGTATTTAAAAAAAAAAAGTCAATTTAAAAAAAATAAAGCATATACATAAACCCAAATAGGAAATAAAACAGTGATCAAATAAGCATGTGTCCTAAACTCCTGAAACACTGGTGTCTCATATTTTAGAGCAGTCAATGAAATTTGGGAAAGAAATCAATCAAATCTGTTTGTGTGTGTGAAAATATTCAGATGTAAACCCCCCTTTGTAATTGTTAACATTTTCAAAAGTAACTGTAATTTAATTACACTTTCTCAGAAACTGTAACGGATTACAGTTACATTTATTTTGTTACTCAATTCGGTTTACTCCCTAACACTGTTAATACACTATAACCAGAACTAATAAAGAGGCAGGATATATTTTTGTTGAATAAATGGGTGCATTTACCAGGACATGTAATTTTGCTCATTTCATTTTAACCAACAATATCAGTACAGAGGAAAATTCAGGCAGTTCTTAGTAGCTGTAAAGAAAGTCATTTGTTTGCCACCAAGAGGAACATCCTGACACTTTAATGAAGATGCAGAACCCGCTGCCTAATGAGAAAAAGCTGGATTCAGTAGGATTTTTGCCTTTCAAAACAAACTGGACAAAGCCAGCTCAACCAAGAAATGACATGAAATAATCAACATCCAGAGTCCTTTTGAAAATCTAAGGAGTTTCCATATCTGTGCAACCAACATTTTAACTTGTTTAATTTTATTATTATTTTCTTTTAATTAATTATATATATATATTTGCTTTAGTTTATATATTTCTATATTTTTTGAGTTACATACATATAAACTTCTGAGGGTATATAAAACACTTTTACATTCAAAAGTTTGGGGTCAGTAAGATGTTTTAAATTCAGCAAGGAAGGATCAAATTGATGAAAAATCATTTATAAGATACAAGATATAGATAGATACAAATAATCATTTATAGATACAAAAGTATGTTTTTTTTGTTTTGTTTTTAAAATTCATCCAAAAATCCTCCCCTTTCGAAATAAATGAACTTTTCCACGACATTCTAATTTGAGATGCACCTGTATGTTAAACAGCGCAACTGTTTTTAAAATTGATAAGCAATATTTCTTGAGCAGCAAATCAGCATATTAGAATGGTTTCTGAAGAAGACTGGAGTAATGATGCTGAAAATGCAGCATTGCATCACAAGAATAAATTACATTTTAAAATATATTTAAATAGAAAACAGTTATTTTAAATTGCAATCATACATCAGAATAAGTTTGTTTTACTGTATTTGAGATCAAATAAATGCAGTGTTGATGAGCATAAGAGATCTTTCTGACCACGTCTGTATAGTAGTATACATAACTTATCATATTCCTTTTTTGAGCCTCATGAAAAATGCAATGCACACAGCTCAGTAGGTCTTTGGAGTAATTATATGAGGTGCTCTTGTGCATTAGTGCTGATCATGAAGGGCTTTTCCTCTCTTTTAGGTGCCTCTTAACACCAGCAGTTGTCAAGGGGACGTTTCTGAGATGTGCATCAATTTGCCTGAGATCCCCAGAGCCCAAAAAACATTTCCTCCATTTGCAGATGATGTAAACACACAAACTGCAGCACTATGTACTCCCACACTCATAGATATGCCACACACTCCATCATCGAGTCCCGGAAGCAGCAGATGAGGGAGATGCTGGAGGTGAGGATGACGACCATGCACATCTAAATGAGTGTGTGCTCATTTGATTGCTCTTTGAGTTCTGCTTTGCTCCAGGGGATGTGTCTGCCCGGTGCCCAGTGTGTGTGTGTATGAGAAGGTCATACAGAGCAAGGCTCTCCTGAGCATCAGTCTCTCAGCTGTTGATCATGAATAAACCACTAATGAAAGAGATGCACACCTTTGGGGAGCAGGAGACCTGTAACCAGTCGAGTCCCAGCAAGAAACCTACACCGGTGAGTCTGTAGCCAAATTCCTTGTAATATAGCGACATATAGTAGCTACCGGTTGTGACTGAAAGCATTGAAGCTTGTGTTGAGCTCACCAGAGGTATCTGCATTTGAGAACGGCTCTAAAAATACCCGCGCCTCCTGCAGCGAGACACTGAACAGACGCGATGGCGCGCCCGTTTTGCTGCAGTGATGCCGCTGAGGAATAACCCTGTATTCAACAGTGGATCAGCAAACAGAAATACAAGGCAGCTTACAGAAGAGGACAATGGTCCGTGATAAAACCGCAGCGATTCTTATGAGCGATTGTACGTTTTTAGAAAAAGCGATATGAAGACGCGCTCATGACCAGTTGCTTTTATAGGCTACGTGCTTCGATTAACTTAGCAACAACGCAGATTGCGCAGCGATTTACGAAAAGTATATTTTTGTTATTTTTAAACACGTTTTTCTATCTATCTATCTATCTATCTATCTATCTATCTATCTCTAACAGTTTAATATCTATCTATCTATCTATCTATCTATCTATCTACCTCTGTCTAACAGTTTCATATCTATCCATCTATCTATCTATCTATCAGTCTGTCTGTCTGTCTGTCTGTCTAACAGTTTCTATCTATCTATCTATCTATCTATCTATCTATCTATCTATCTATCTCTGTCTCTATCTATCTATCTATCTATCTATCTATCTATCTATCTATCTATCTACCTCTGTCTAACAGTTTCATATCTATCTATCTATCTATCTATCTTTTTGTTGCAAAATATGAAATATATTTGAAATAACACTCAAATAGAAACCAAAAATGTATGGCCTATACCTTCAGTATGTAATATTATGTTTATTCAGCCAAAGCCTCAGAATGCCATCACCATCGCCGTGTCCTCCCGTGCTCTCTTCAATATGGACCGGGAGCAGGACATTTATGAGCAGCAGGGAATGGAAGATTACCTGAAATATCAGATCCAACATGAGATCGAGCCATTCGCACCCGGACCTGCTTTCCCCTTCATTAAGGTCAAACCTGTTCTATTGTATTTACACACATCAGTGATTAGCAATGATATCATTAATACGAATAAAAAAAAAAAAAGTTTACAATTATCTCAACTTAAGGGGAAAAAAAATATTCATGTCTGTCATCCGGTTATCCAAGCTACAGAGCTCTGGATAATAGATGGAAATGTTATTTTTCTGTGCTGTGTAGGCGGTGGAGGCAGTGAACACTCGACTCAGGGAGCTTTATCCAGACAGCGAAGAGCTCTTTGATGTGGTTCTGATGACCAGCAATCATGCTCATGTGGGACTTCGGCTCATAAATTCAATTAACCATTACCGTAAGTCAAAAGATGTTTGACCGCACTGGGATGCTGAGTTGCTTTGAAAATTGTAATATACAATTGTAATATACGAGTTTCTAGTAATATATCATTATTTATCATCTAATAAGTTTTAATGCAGATTTCTTTCTTTCTGGTAAAAATTTGTATGAAGATACAGAATACCTGACAAATTCATTAATACAATGTACAGTAAGGGTTTATACCCAAAAATAACTGAACCAAGTAGAATTACACCCCATTGTGCCACTCTGATTGATAACGTATTTACTAATGATATTGAAAATAATACTGTGAGCGGACTATTAATAAATTAGTGATCATCTACCGGTTTTTACAGTTTATGACAATAACTATAAGAGAAAATAGCTAGATGTAAAACAAGGTTAAGACGAGTGAGGACAGAGAAAACTACGAATGCATTTAAGAGTGACTTATTAGTATGCACATTTACTCACACAGTCTTATTATACTATAATGTGATTTTATGTATTTATTTATTTATTTAAAGAATGGGGAGTTGTATACAAAGAAAATATTGACAATGCGTATAACAATATTAACAATAAAAATATTTATATCATTATATTAAAAAAACTGTCCAATCATACAATATTATAGAAAACAAAAATACATAGATCGACCATGGATCACAAAGGGATTACAAAATGCCTGTAAAAAGAAGAATACACTCTATAGAGAATTTATAAAACAAAGAATTAGAGAGGTATATAATAAACATAAAAAATATAAAAATAATTTTACCAGTATCTTACGGGTTTGTAGAAAGGAGTATTATAATAAAATATCAGTATTAATAAAAACAACATTAAAGGAATATGGGGTAGGCTATATTAAATAGTATTATTAAAAAAGGTACTGGACAACAAAGTTATCCTTAATATTATATCGATAACAATACTATGAAGGATAATGTGGTTAATAGCTTTAATCATTTTTGTCTGACTGTTGGACCAAAATTGGCAAAAGAAATTCAAGACCCAATGTCATCGGAAGATTGGAATGACAATTTAATTGAAAGGAATCCCAACTCAATTTTCCTTTCATCGTAAATTAGTGTAAATATAAAACAACGACTGATTGTAATGAAGTTATGAAAAAAGTCATTGAGGGGATATCAAAACCAATAACACATATTTGTAATCTATCATTTCAAACCGGTAAATTTCCAAACAAAATGAAAATAGCCAAAGTGGTTCCGCTGTACAAAACTGGGGATAGACATAATTTTTCAAACTACAGGCCTGTTTCTCTACTTCCACAATTTTCCAAAATTGTAGAATTTTTTTTTACTATAAATTTTTAGACAGATATAAAATACTCTCTGCCAGTCAATATGGATTCAGATCAAATAGTTCAACATCATTGGCATCAGCTGATTCGGTTGAAGAAATTACAAAAGCTATAGATCATACGCAGTTTGCAGTTGGAGTTTTCATAGATCTTAAAAAAGCTTTTGACATAATTGATCATAATATATTAATTAATAAACTGGAACGTATGGGATTAGGGGGTAATACTGGACTGGGTGAAAAGTTATTTAGAGACAGAAAACAGTTTGTGAAGTTGGGGGAATATTCATCTTTGTGCTTGAGCATTGCTTGTGGCATCCCCCAGGGGTCAGTACTGGGTCCAAAGTAATTTCTGCTTTATATAAATGATATCACCAAAGTATCAAAAATTGTAAAATTAGATGATATAAATATTTTTTGTTCTGGGGGGAATTTGAAGGAGCTATTGGAGACCATCACTTCAGAAATTAGTAAATTAAAAATGTGGTTTTGATAGAAATAAATTATCATTAGTTAATAAAACAAAATTTGTTATTTGGGAATTGTAAAATAAGTACACAAGTCCAGATACAGATAGATTGTGTGGATGTAGAAATAATTCACTAATTGAGCTCATTGTAGTTATTAAAATATATTATAAGATACTATCTTGTGTTGTTTTTTTTATTTCCAGAGCTATTTATAGAGCGCTTTTGTATGACTGGAGGCAACAGTCTTATTGGGTATCTGAAAGCCTACCATGCCAACCTTTATCTGTCAGCTGATTCACTGAAAGTTAGAGAAGCCATCGAAGAAGGTGAGTGGATTGGTTTGGGGATTTAATTAACTTTTAATGGTAGAATCATAAATATACTAATTTTGATTCAATATGAAATTCTTTCTTATTAGGAATTGCAGCAGCAACAGTATTCTCACCTGGAAAAATCACAGAGGTGCCGGAGACTCAGCTGCGAGTGGCCTTCGATGGAGATGCCGTTCTCTTTTCAGATGAGTCAGAGAGAATCTACAAAGCCCACGGACTGGACAAGTTCTTTGAGCACGAGAAAGCCCATGAAAATAAACCTCTTGATCATGTATGTTCAATTTAAATTTAATAGCATGCAATAATATACTGTGTTTAAACTCCATTGATGATGTGAATGATTGCTGTAAAACATCTACTGACACTTTTTCACAAGAAAACGGGGGTATTATACTTCTGACAACAGTAAATTATTACCTTACCATTTTTCATAGGGACCACTTAAGGGGTTCTTGGAAGCTCTAGGGAAGCTGCAACAGAAATTCTATGCCAAAGGTCAGCGCCTGGACTGTCCCATCCGCACCTATTTGGTTACAGCTCGCAGTGCAGCCAGTTCAGGCACCCGGGCCCTCAAGACGTTACGTTCCTGGGGTCTAGAGACAGATGAGGCCCTGTTCCTAGCAGGAGCCCCTAAAGGCCCCATGCTGGAAAAGATCAGACCTCACATCTTCTTCGATGATCAAATGTTCCACGTGGAGGGAGCAGCAGAACTTGGGACTGTGGCGGCTCATGTTCCCTATGGAATTGCCCAGAAGGTTCAATCAAAGACAGCGAGGGATGTAAAAAAAGACATGCCAGCCAAGCAGCTAGAGTGAATACTGCTCTCTTCATCCTGGGTGTGAGGAGTTCAAATAAGGTTTTAAAGGGATGTTTCACCCCAAAATGAAAAATCTCTCATCATTTACTCCTAGATTTACACATCTAGCCTGTGTGAGTTTATTTCTTCTGTTCAGCCCAGAAGAAGATATTCAGAAGAATGTTGACAGAATGTTGACCAAACAGCTGACGGTAGCCATTGACTTTCATAGTATGGGAAAAAAGTACTATGGAAGTCAGTGGCTACCAGCCATTTTTGAGTTTCTTTGTAATTGGTTACTTTCCAAAAGTAAGTAAATAAATAAATAAAGTGTTAAAATAGCTACTCAGTTTTTCCAGCTTCCAAAAATAGGCCAGTTTGTCAGTGGCAGACCCTTTGCACTGAACATCATAGCTTTGAAGTTGTTTACTACGTTATATCAAGCCATAAATAAACAGAAAAAAAGTGGTATTATACCGTTGAGTTAAATTGTTACATTTTCTGTTCTAATGTAATAGCAAATGTTATTTAATTTATTATGCCAGAGTCTAGCTAAAGCTAAAATGCACCAAATGCTTGTTGGATATCATAAATATAGCCTTTAGCCATGCATATTTTCAGCTTTTATATTGTAATGGTCTGGTTTTGAAGCACCATCTCTGTTGTTGTTTACTGTAAAGGGCTGTTTTACACTCTGTATTGAAACCTTTATGTGTGTACATCTGTTATACAGTGTTTAAATCCATCAGTGGTACTATGTACAAATTTGGTTCACGTGTTTGTGAAATCCTGTGTGTTACTCAGGGCATGCTCAAGTCAGTGTTTTGCACTAAACACCATATTAAACAGTGAAGAGGAAATAAATGTTGAAAAACAGGCCATATTTTTTTCTCATTTGAGTGCAAAATATTTAAGTAGGCTAGGTAATAGACTTTCCCAGCCATCTGAAATGGAACAGATTGGACAGTGAGGGGAAGCAATCCAGCTTTGATAGTTTTAGACTGCTTTGTCACTTGCGTAAAGCAAAACAAATGACCCTGTGGGCGAAATGACAGAAATATCCATATTTCTCCACTTCTTCAAATAACCACTAACGTCAAATTACCATCTTGTGTGTGTGTGTGTGTGTGTGTGTGTGTGTGTACTGGTTTATATATCCTGGTGGGGACTTAAACCTGACTACACACAGACTCATGGGGACTCGTGTCACGGTGGGGACCTAAATTGTGGTCCCCACAGGTACAAAAGCTTATAAATCATACAGAATTAAGTTTTTTGAAAATCTAAAAATGCAGAAAGTTTCCTGTAAGGGGTAGGTTTAGGGGTAGGGTTGGTGTAGGGCAATAGAATATACGGTCTGTACAGTAGAAAAACCATTACGCCTATGGAGAGTCCCCACAAGGATAGCTGACCAGACGTGTGTGTGTGTGTGTGTGTGTGTAAACTACAGTTACCATAGTAACTTAAGGGCGGGACTTCAAAAATGTCGTCAGTTCAGAAACTCTGTTGGACCTTTAACTCGCGTCCAGCTGGTTAATGTGTCACCCACGTTAAATAGTACGCCTAACATCTGGATCGTGCTCAGTTTAGTTCATGTTTACAGAATGTTTGTAGATTATACAAATAGTGAGGTAATAGTGCATCGTTTCAGTCTTTGTTTAGGAATGTGACTGGTCACATGATTAAAGTCATATGACTGATGAGCCCACGAAAGAGGGAATGAGAGCAGAAATCTTCGACAGTTCCCAATAATACACTAATACTGTCGTCTGTCGTGATGAATTCAGATGGATAGACAGATGTGGCGACTCCTGAAGTAAACCGCTGGATCATGGAGCGTTTGGGAGTTTTGTCTGTTCTCGCCACCGCTTGTGTTTTTGGTGAGTTTCCGAAACAGCAGGTTAACAGATTAAATGTGATTTAGCGCAATGTCAAAACGCATTTTAGTATTTAACTTTTATCGTTGAACTAATATTTTAAAATAGAAGTGTCATGGTCGTGAAGAAAAATGTAAAGGTTTCACTTTTTGAACGGTAGCAACATTTCGCTCTGTGAATGAAACATGTACATTTCGATTAGCCTACATTTTGTATCTTGGTATGTCTGGTTAGTTGACAACATTTTATATTATTATTATTTTTTTCCAAAATCAATCATATTAAACGTCTATCTAGGCAATATTTATTTTTAACCTAATGTTTAATATGTTTATATATATGTATAATTGTGTTTAGGTGTTTTTAAAAATCAGTTCCCACAATGTATGTATGTATTTGTTTGTTTGTTTTTCAATACAGAGACACATTTAGTACATCTTTGAGATATTTTACCAACAACATTCTTCCTGATTACTAAGACAGGCCTAAACCTGCAAATCTTTAGACCAAAATCAATACACAGCTCTGCTGTACAGTAAACAAAGACTATTTGGCATTACTGGCATGCCATACAGTGACAGCAGTGTTCTGTAGCATGACATATTTATGTTTTTATGACCTCTGATTCATTCATTTGTCAAACTACCCATTCAAAAGAACATTCAATGTTCAAATGTTCTGAAAAGTGTATTAACAAGTCAGTAAGAGTAAACTATTTTCCTCCGAGTAAGTCGTAAAAGCTCGGAAGAGAACAAACAGAAACATGGTTTCTAGGTCCCTCACTTGTTCTTAGTATTTCTGGAATGAAATCGAGTCATATGACCGTCTCCTCAGAATAATTGTATTTCTTCAGTGGGTGCTTGTGTCGCTGTGGGTGACCGGCCTCATGGCTAATGTGATTACATTCACAATAAGGACTCTGTTTGCCTTTCTGCTGATGGTTAACAACCATGCTGTGCCATTTACAGTATACACCAACAGACAATAAACACACATACACAATTGAAGGAATGCGAGTATGATTCATGTGATGCTATTACAATAGACCTTTAAACAAAACTTGCCAAAACGTTTAGCAGTATTTAGGCAAAATAGAGAAATCTTGTCATATTTACTACTTTTAAAAACCTCCTTTGTGCTTTATAAGACGTTTACAGTTCACATAAGACTAAATTAGGGTCTAGTTCAGTAAAGATGACCATCAACACAACAGTTTTTAAAAAACGGTTTTCTAAGGCTGCATTTATTTGATCAAAAATACAGTAAAAACAGTGATATTGTGAAATAGTTTAATTACAATTTAAAATAAAATTCTATCTTTATAAATGTTAAAAATTTGTACATTTGTTTTGGTGATGGCAAAGCTGAATTTTCAGCATGTTCGGTGTCACATGATCCTTCAGAAATCATTTTAATATGCTGATTTGGTGCTTAAGAAATCATTTATTATTGTTATCAATGATGAAAACGTTTGTGCTGCTTATTAGTTTTCATTTTCAAATAAAAACTATTTTGGTTTCATTCCTCGCACAAAATGGTGCACAGGTTTGGATGACTTTTTTGGGCTTTGTCGTCCTTTTTTGGAGCTTTACAGTCACTGTCTGTATTCATGGTATGGAAAAGAGAAGCATGAACATTGTGCAAAATGGGTTTTTTTTTTGGCTTTACATAAGAAATAAAACGAAAATAATTTGGATTTTTGAATCGCATGTGGATAATTACACAATGACAGACTGTTTTTGGGTGGCCTAAGCCTTTAAAAGCATAATTATGATTTTAAGATGATTGTCATATGATTTATTTGAACCTAGTTTGTCCTCTATCGTTGTGTAGGAGTGGTGATGAGTCAGACAACACTCAGTCCTGCTGTGACGGTCACCAGAGTCAGTGCAAGCATGAGCACTACAGGGCCCAGCTGCTCCGGCCTCAACACCTCCACCTGCATGGCCTGCGCTCCTGGCTCTTATTATGATAACCGTGGGTGCTTTTTTATGTTAGGAATGTGAATTGGGTTCATTTTGATTTCATGTTGCCTTAAAAGTTGAAGTTGACACATGCACTTTCTCTCTCTCTGTGTTCTCAGAAACTCTGTTGTGTTCCTGCTGTCCCGAGGCAGGCCTGTGTGTGTTACCTGGAGCCTGTCTTCTGTGCGTCCAGGGTTTCTATCAGCCTCTAGCAGCACAGCAGGGCTGTCTGCCCTGTTCATCTGGCTTTTACAGCAAGTAAGAGGAGAAAGTATTACGCTGTTGTTTATTTAAAGCATAAGCAATCTTTCTATGCCAACCGTGCTTTAATAATTTTTTTCATTAGTTCCACTGGAAGCCCTGTCTGCCAGCCGTGCCCTACTGGGTCCTACAGCAATAACACAGGCTCTGCTTCCTGTACAGCATGTGCACCAGGTAACAAGTGATATGTCATTCATTCATTCAGTTTATTCTAATTTGTTTTGTTTTTTTTGCTTTATGTAAATAAACTGACACATTGAGGGTGGAGAAAAAATATGCAACTACATATTAAAATATATTGAGGGGTAATTAGAATTTAGATTCATTAGAATTTTTTATTTTATATATGTATATATATGTGTGTGTGTGTGTGTGTGTGTGTGTCTGTGTGTGTGTATGTATGTGTGTATATATATATATATATATATATATATATATATATATGTGTGTGTGTTTGTGTGTGTGTGTGTGTGTGTGTGTGTGTGTGTATTATGAAAAAATTTATATCTAATGTTTTTTTTTCTCCTTATTGCTTCAGGTTTCTACACATCTTTGCAAAATTCAACATCCTGTAACCCATGTCCACAAGCCACGTACTGCAAGTAAGTTCCTTTTCTGAACATTGCACCATAAAAAATACATCTCGGGCTTTGAGTAATATGCACTTTTATTTTTATTTGTGTACACTTATTACATTTTTTTAATGAAGAAATTAAACTTTGGATATTTAATAACATTTAGTTCTTGTATGTGCACACACACACACACACACACACACACACACATATATATATATATATATAAATGCAGATTTTGTTTTGATGTGTTTTTGTTAAATTATATGGCTATTAATAAACCACCTCTTTTTATACACTTGATGAAATTCTCTCTGTTGACTTGTTAAATTTCAGTGCTGTGCTTTGTATTTCTAATATGTTAGTCGTCGTAGCGGTGTCATTGCAGTACCACAGGACTGTCAGAATTTGTTGTAAACAAGCTTTCTTTGTTGCTTCCTTTCTGCCCTTTTGATAGT